CGGCCCGGCCCACCCCCTGCAGCTGGCGACGGTGCCGCGTGCGCGCCCCTGGGGGCGGCCTCACCTTCCCGCTGCCTTTCTGCGAACCGCCTGGCGTCTTGTCCGCCATCTTGGCTCTCTCCCTCGGCCAGCCCTGGCGGCCGGAATCGAGCGCCGACTTCACCGATTGAAGAGGAGAGCGGGGAAGTCTCCCGCCTGGGGTGAGGGGCGGCGAGACGATGGCCGAGCTAGCGATAGGGGAGGCGGGGCCGGCGCTGCGGCGCTGTCAGGCCCGGCGGCCGCAGGCGCCGCGGCTTTGTGGGGGGCTGGTCACTTCGCAGTCCCGGATTAACGCATAGGCAAACTAGGCACAATGCCTAGGGCCCTAAGAAGCGGCCCAGCTGTGCTTATTTTACATATTATAATTACTGAGTGGGGAAAAAATATATACAGTATAAATATAATATAAATAAATAATATACATATACGGTATTAAGTAGGGTCCATGAGTTTGTTTGCCTAGGGATAGCAAAAGGGTTAATCTGGTACTGTGCATGAGGGAGTCCCCCCACCAGCTGGCAGGGTCCAGGGCTCAAGAGATGTGGCTAAGCAGGAGGTACAGGAGACTCGCCCCCACTGGGGTTAGCGCCTGCTTTCCCTGCCCCATACATCTAATTTACCACTGTCGCATCCAAAGAAAACGCTTAAAAGGCAGCAGCGCTGCAGAAGTGGTCTGCCCAGCTCCCCTCGCAACCTGGGGCCATGGGAGGAATGCAACGTGGGCACCTGGGGGCGCTTTGAGCTGCTCTCTGCTCCCAAACTAGGAGGGATCCCAAGCTGGGGATTCTGGGCAACATGCCCAGGTCTGCAATTTAAGGATTTTTTTTTTTAAGCAGTCTGTCAAATCTCACCCATGGGGTTTCTTTGTAATGCTTCATCATCAGAGCTAGGCAGGTCAGGCTGTCATAGCTGCCTTGTTCCCATTCTTAGCTCCAGCTTTGTTTTATAGTCCTGGCCTGCCTCATTTCAAAGTTTTTTTTAATTTCTTTATAAAACCTCCAGGCTGAATCTTAATTTAAGAGCATTCTGCTCTGGAACAGTTCTTTTGCTATAGAATTACATGAGGGTTAAATCCAGAGAGGCCACAGCTCTGCTACCAGATCGGTATTCTTATGTTCCTCTATGGCAAAAGCATGCCTCCTAGAAGGGAGTCAGCTGTGGTGCTGATTTGGCACCAGAGGCAAAAGGAATCCTATACTGATGGATTATTGATGGCAGTTTTTTTCTTTGTCACCTGAACAAAGAATTATGAGACAGTATAGACAGTATGTGACTCTATAGACAGTAATATGAGACTGCTTCCCCACTGAGATCTTCACCTTGTTATATTTATGCCATGAAGTAAGGACCAAATCTAAGCACCTTGCAAATAAAATAACTTTGTATAAATCACTGCAAGGAACTGAAACTTCATTGTAGACCACAGAGTAATAATAGTCCCAGCAGAACCATGATCTACAGTGGCAGCTCTCAGGATGCTCCCTGGATACATTAGATACTGGCCAGTGGATCTGAATAGTTGCTGAATCTATTGGTTGGCCTTTCAGCACAGACCACATCATACATTAGAATCACTGTGGGTCTCCAGATATGAGGCTTTGTGTACTTATATCTTAGAAGAGTAATGCTCTAATGTTGCTACCGGTACCAGCATACAAGGCTAGAGGATCAGGCCCCAGGAGTATAGGCTTCTGGTGCTGGTAGTGGTGTAACAGACTAAAGAATGGCAATAAGTTACACTGCAGGACTTTTACCAACTGGTATATTCCTTCCTGATTTAGTTCCCAGAGCTGGGAGCTGGTTTCCACATTGGTCCCCAAACTAGCTTGACATAATTGGTTTGAGAGGGGGTACTGTTCCCTGAAACTGGCATTTAGCAGCTCTTTCTGCCTATAATACGTATAGCATTGTGGGGTGAGATCCCCAGTGAGTCAGAATGCTGTCAGAATGGAGGTAGGACACTGAGCTGAGGTTGGAACTTGACATGAGAATTCTGGAAGTACTTTGTTGAAAGCCAGATGCAACAAAAGATTTAGGAGAGAAGTCTATAGGAAAGTATAGAAAGAAAATCGGGTAGGTGGTGCCATGAGTGGGTAAAAAAGACTAAATGGGTTCAAAAATTAGGAGAAAAATAGAAGTAAACTGAGATGATTGTAAAGGATAGAATAAACAGAAAGGAGGGGACTGAGCAAAAGGGAAGAGAGAAAGTCCCAGAATAAACAAAGAAGGTGAGGGAGAGACATTGCATGAATGCCTTTTCTACCTCTAGTTTAAATAACTGCTCTGGGATCTTTCTGGGGTTGGCTAAAAAGGCTGCTAAAAATCTTCACCTTATGAAGAATATAGCCCAACTTCTGAAGGAGGTGTGCTAGTGACAACATATCAGATTACTGCTCCACATTGCACTGGAGGCTAGTTACCCTTTGGGTATAGTTTAGAGGATTACTAACTGCTCAGCTCTTCATGATATAAACCCAAGCTCAGTAAAAAACTGAATCACATACATTTTTAAGTCCTATTTAAGTCAATAGAGATGGTTACAACTACATCATCATCATCATCATTAGGTGTTTTCTTGATATACTGTGTTCTAATATGCAAGGATAAAATGAAATGTGAGCCAAAGGTAGTGCCCCTTCCTGAAGGCAGAGGTAGGAAGCCTGTAATCTATTGCCAGGACCATTATGCCAAAGGATTTATTGTTAATTATGGTATGGCCTGTGGCGGGTGTTAACATTGTATTATGGATGAGGGCAGTCAGGCAAAGCTCAAGGATGACGAGATTTTGAGAAGACTGAGGTCTACAGTATAGAGGATAGGCAACCTTTGGAAGCTACTGCCATAGGTTCGCTACCACTAAATTTTGGAGGCTGTTGCTTGTATCATCCCCATGTGACCTTGTAACCAGAAAAAAGCTGCTGTTTCTCACCTGAAAGAACCTTTCCAATTGACTTTCAAATGGATTCTCTGCCCCATTCTCCTTTCTCAGTCCCTCTCCAACCCCAAATTAATATACATGCATTATTTTTGCCCTTTCCCTCCATTTATATGGATTAAATGAGGATTTTCCTCTACCTCCAGTAAAAGTCAAGTGTTAACAAATGGCATGTCCATAGATAATTATTATTAAAAGATCAAATTATGTAAAATTATTAACAGGTATATTTTCTATGATCAGAAAATAAGATGACAGCAAAATTGCAGATGGTAAATGAAAAACCTTGTAACAGGGAGCCCCCTTTGTACACTACCCTTCTGGGCATTCATATAACAGAAGCCCCTTCTTGCCTGCAACCTCTTTCCCCTTTTGTGCATTTCTTTTTCCTTCTAAGTATTGGCAGACGTAGCACATTCATTGCATGGGTGTGGCAAGGCTCCAAGCAAACCAGAAAGCTGAAGTGGCTTTCTGTAGGAGAAACCTACAGACTACATCTACATATCAATTGAGCTAAGTGTCACTAAAGAAAACAAAAGAACTAAAATATCCACTTCAAAGCAAAGCCTGTAAGAGACAAGAAAAGCCAAGGTGCACTGAAAGCATAACTGTAAATATATCCTGGTAAACACATTCCCCCTTTGATTAAGACCTATTTCCCAAAGCAAACTTCCCATATCTGTCTAAAGTTTTATGCTAAATCAGTCTAACCTAACTCACTTACTGTCCCCAGTGGCCATTGATCCTCACTACCTCACAGTGCATTTTTATATTTCATGTCTCATCTTTGCCCTGGCATTCTGTATTTTATGTTTTATACCTTTTAACAAATGTATTCTTTAGAGTAAGTCATACCTTGTATTACTAAAATTATTATTATAAGAATGCACTGGAATTGTAATAACTGGAATTGTATTGCTGTAATGGGCTGGCCCCCTGAGTGAATGGAAGTATGGATGAATCAGTAGGTAATTGAATGACAAAGCAAGAGCCTCTGGCTGTTAATTGACAGTAGCCTAGCCAGAGGAACTTACCATTACAAAACTTTACTCTACAAGCCATTCTAAGCTAATCAAGCCACCTGGAACCTGCAAGGACACAGCCATTGAGTCAATCAAGTCAATGGTGGACTCCCAAAACTGCACCATTGGGTGGAACCCCCAGTGACTGTGACTGACAGCTGTCATGCACTACTCCAGACCCATGGGGGACAGCAACCTCCAGACTGGGTGCCCAAGATGATGCTGGGGGATCACAAAAGTCTGCTGGAAAGGGATAAAAGGCAGTGAAGCCTGACCCTCAGTGGTGCCCTCTCATCCAGCACCCAACCTACTAAGACAGAAGGACAAGTAGGCAACCCCCTTCTGGAGAAGACACTGCCTTGGAGGAAACCATTGACAGCAGACTGCAGCACCCCAGAGAGGTATAAACCAACATCCATGCTACACTACTATTGCAGCAATTGTGTGTGTGTGTGTGTGTGTGTGTGTGTGCGCGCGTGTGTGTGTGTGCGCGCGTGCGCTAAGGTGGTACCCCTCATAACTCAAAGTTTGCATTTATGATTTTATTAGTAACTTCACATCCCGTACAATCAATTAGAATTTATTATGATCTTGTGAGTTGGTCTTTTGTAGCTAACAGCCTCATAGCACTT